GGCGACGGCGACGGAGGAGGAGCAGCAGGAGGAGGATCCCAAAAGTGCCGCGGGGGTCGCAATCCTGCTGACAGGGAGTACAGGAGGCTCAAGAGGTACTCATCTTAGTCATCTACCACTACCGCTTCTTCTTCTTTTTTTAAAAAAGAAAAAAGAAAAAGAAAAGCATATATATTTTGGTCACCGAGTTATATATATCAATGAACTGTTGTTAATGTCTCTAATAAAAGTTTGATCTGAAAGTAACTTCACAGCCACGAACGAAAAGCTGACGGTTTAGGCATGTGTAAATTGACTTGGCTGCTTTCTCCGTTTATTAATTAATTTTGCCAGATCATTGAAGTTCTGAATCCGAATTGGTTCTCCAGATAACTGGACTTGTTGCATAAATGCGAAGAATTCATTCATTCCACTATAACCGTGAACTATCTCTCCCCTCTCAAAACAACTAGCTATGAACTAACTATATATCTGCATTACCATATTTGTATCTGTATTGCTCAAAACTCAACATCGATGTCTTTGTTACTCGGGGATTTCGGTCCCTGCCTTCAAGGTTATTTGCTTGTGGGCTGGACCGAATATGGCACGCTAGCGAATCTGGTGTGTCTCGGACTTAATTGAGAAAGGTTTCCACACAGAAAATATTATATAGGATAGAGGACTTAACCATGGGAATGAGTTCAGTGAATCAGGTTCCTCGTAGCTCATAAAACAGGAGAGGAAACCATCCACTATTTGCAGAATGCACCGTGGAGAAAGCTTGTTGCAAGAAAGCATGAGAGTAATGAGCTTTTTGAATAAACCAACATATCCAAAGTATGAAATAGAAGCTTTCTAGTGTGCACCTTGAAGAAGAACCGGTTAATGATAAAAGATATGAAATAGAAGCTTTCTAGTGTGCACCTTGAAGAAGAACCGGTTAATGATAAAAGATTTAACTTGATCAGGCAAGACGGGTCCAACTATTCACACTCCCAAACAGTAACTTTGGGGGTATGTGAGGACTAAATTGCCCTTCTCCCAAACCAAAACAGGTCAAGTCAATTCTAGAAATACCCTCAACATCAAAAGGGCATTTTCGGTAATCCAACCCCCAAAATTACTGTTTGGGAGTGGATATAGCAAACATGTAAACAAAACATTCGTAGTCAACACATTAAACTTCCAAGGTTCAACTTCCAAGATTCATAAAGTAGGTTCAACTTTCTGAGTCTTGAACCATGCAAAATTGATTTAACTTCCCAACAATGCCTCCCTTAAATCAATTTGCTCTTCATTCCCAACATTTTTGAATTTCTTTTGAAGACATGACCTCCAAGGGGTTTAGTGAAAATATCAGCCACCTGCTCCTCTGACTTGCAGTACTTCACATCAACAAGTCTTTCATTCACAAGTTCCCGCAGAAAATGAAACTGTATTCGAATGTGCTTGGTTCTCCCATGAAGAACTGGATCCTTTGAAACTGAAATTGTAGAACTATTATCACAAAACAGAGTTGTTGCACCCTTTTGAACATGATTCAATTCTTCCAAAATACCACGTAACCAAAGTAGTTGACTTCCTGCAATTGATGCAGCAATATATCCAGTCTCTATTGTTGATAAAGCCACAATGGGTTGTTTCTTTGAACACCATGAGATTGCACCACTTCCAAGATTAAAAATATAACCTGAAGTACTTTTGCTATCATCAACACTCCCTGCCAAATCACTGTCAGTGTATCCAACCAAATTAATAGGAATATTGGCTTGATAAAAAATATCATGATCAAGTGTTCCTTTGACATATCTCAGGATTCGTTTCGCAGCCTCCCAATGATTTGAAAACGGTTTCTCTATAAATCTACTAATCAAACTTACAATATACATTATGTCAGGCCTTGTAGCTGTCAAATACATAAGATTTCCAACCAAGCTTCGAAATAAAATAGAGTCAACAAGCTTTCCTTCTCCATTTTCGCTCAACTTCAATCCTGTAATACACGGAGTTGAAACCGGATTTGCATTCTCCATCTTGAATTTTCTTAGAACTTCTTTTGCATAATTCCCTTGAGAAATGAAAATACCTTTCTTGGATTGATGAACTTCAATACCAAGAAAATGATGTAACTCTCCCAAATCAGTCATCTCAAACTCCTTCATCATAGCTTTCTTAAAATCATTCAACAAATCAAAATTATTTCCGATAAGAATAAGATCATCAACATAAAGACTTACAATGATGAAGCCTCCATGCCGACCGACTTTGGTGAAGAGAGTGTGTTCATATGGACATTTTTAAAAATTATTCTTCTCAAAAAACTCATCGATCCAGCTATACCAAGCTCTTGGCGATTGCTTTAGCCCATACAGCGTCTTCTTCAACTTGTAGACTTTACTTTCTTCACCATTTTTCACAAATCCAGCAGGCTGCTCAACGTAAACTTCTTCCTTTAGAATTCCATTCAAAAAAGCTGATTTTACATCCATTTGGAGCAATTTTCAATTGTTCTGAGTTGCAATTGAAATGATTAATCGAACAGTATCAAGTCTTAAAACCGGAGCATAAACTTCAGTAAAATCTTGTCCTTCTTTTTGCTTGTATCCCTTTGTACCTAGCCTTGCTTTATGCTTGTTGATGGAGCCATTGGGATTCCTCTTTGTCTTGTACACCCATTTAACGCCAATGTGAGTTTTATGTGAAGGCAAGTCAGTGAGTTCCCACGTATCATTTTTTTGATAGCCTTAATTTCATCCAACATAGCATGTTGCCATTTTTCTTCTTTATTTGCATCATCAAAGTTTATTGGATCTTCACCTGCAAAGAAAGCAAAGAAGATAGAGTCATTTGTTTCCACTTGTTCGGTGGAGTTGTAAATTTCTTGTAGGCTTCTCATCTTTCTTTATGGGGAAAAATCTCCACTTGATGGTTGTGACGAATCATCACTTTCTTCAATTTCTTCATCAACAAAATCTGGTAATTTGACAGGATCCTTTTTCTTATAAAAAATTGAGTCTTCATCAACTTGAACATTTCGACTGATCACAATCTTCTTTGTCTTTGGATTGAACAACTTGTAAGCTTTGCTTTTCTCACTATATCCGATGAAAATGCATTTTTCGGATTTGTCATCAAATTTGTTTCGCATGGCTTCTGGAATTAGAGAATAAGCAACACTCCCAAAAACTTTTAAGTGTTGTATGTTAGGCTTTCTCCCATACCAAGCTTCATGTGGAGTGATATTGTGTAGGCATTTTGTTGGTGACCTATTAATCAAATATCCTGCACAACAAACAGCTTTTGCCCAAAATTCATTAAGCAATTTTTTTCTTTTTAACATATATCTCACCATCTCCATAATTGTTCTATTGTTTCACTCACTAACGCCATTTTGCTGTGGTGTATAGTGAGTTGTAAGTTCATGCCGAATACCATGTTTTCTGATAAAATTCTGTGTTATTTGAAACATATTCCCCACCACGATCAGTTCTCAAAGTTTTGATAGAACAACCTGAGAATTTCTTCACTTCAGACTTGAAATTTTTGAAAGCCTCAAAAGCTTTAGATTTTTCATTGAGAAAGTAGAGCCAAACTTTTCTTGAAAAATCATCGATGAAACTTATAAAATACCTGCTCCCACCAAGAGATGCAACAGCATTGGTCCACACAAGTCTGAATGTACCAGTTCCAACAGTTTCTTTGATCTCCACGAAGACTGGGAAGGGAATGGGTCTCGGTGTTGCTTTCCGAGTTGGCAAGCTTCACAAACTTCATTAACTTGATTAATTCTTGGCAGCCCTTCAACCATGTTTTTGGTAGACATCAACTTCAAGCTTCCATAATTCAAATGCCCAAACCTCTCATGCCATAGTTTGGATACACTGTCATCAACACCAGCAAGACAAGCCAAGTTTGCTGTTTGTAGCTTGAGAGGAAATAAATTATTTGCTGCAGTACCAATCTTAGCAACCAATTGATTGTTTTTTGATAAAAAAACAACTATTATCACGAAAATGTACATGAAAACCCTTTCTCAAAAGATGGCCAACACTTAGCATATTATTTTTCAATCCAGGAACTTAATAAACATCAGACATTTTTTCAATTTTTCCGGATTTTGCTCTAAAAATCACTTCACCTACTCCTTCAATTTTATAGGCTCTGGCATCACCTATTTGTTAGATCTAAACCAAAACTTGAGATCTAAAACCATATAGCCATGATTAATTCAAAGAGATTAACAATAATCAAAAGAGTGCGGAAGATTATACCTGAATCCATAGAAGAAATCTTGATTTGGGTTTTTGATGATCTTCTAACCTTAGGGTTTCTCTAAATCCGAATTTCTCTTACTAGATGAGGGTGTAGAGAATTAGAGAATGTAACCCTAGGTTAGGGACCATAACCCCTTATTTATAGATGTTGTACTTTGATAATTTAGCCCCTCAATAAATCACAATTACAACATGGTATCTGCACATATAACTCCACGATTATATTTAAATACCCATTAACCCAACTTAATTGATCACTTTAGTGGGTTATCCTGAAAGATAGCAATACACATTGATTAATCATATGTGCCGACAAATAGATTTATTAGATTAAATCCAACACTATTTTCACTTGTCCATGATTCATCATAGATAAATTTGAGAGCAGATTATTGTTACCTGTCATGTGTTTGCTAGCACCACTATCCAGATACCAAACTTCATCAATGTCATCACCATAGCAAGCGAGCAAGAGGGTTTCTTCACTGTTTTCGTGAATGAGAACTGCATCATTTTTCTTATCTTCTGCTTGCTTGTGCCAGCAATCCGAGATCACATGTCCTGGTTTATGACAGAAGTGACACTCAAAATAGCCACGGCCTCTGCCTCTTTGAAAACCACGACCTCTGTCTCTTTGTTGGAAATTAAAATTCTGATTTCGTCGTTTCGATTACCTCGATGATGGTTGTTACCATTATTGTTGTTGCCGGAGTTCTGGTTGCTTTCATGTTGATTGTTGCTGCTATAGTTGTTGCCAGAAAAATTTCTTCCTCTTCCTCGAGAATTTCCACCACGTCCTCGAGAAATTCCGCCTCTACCACGGTTATTGTAAGAACCACGGCCTCCTAAAAACGAAACTTCAGATTTTAGAGCTTGATCAGGTTGACGAGGTTGAGGATTCAACAAGTTGATTTTTGCTTCATACGCCTTCAAAGTTCCTTGTAAATCTTCCAAGGTGAACACTTTGTCAAGTTCTTCAAGTACAGTAACAAGAGAAAAATATTTTTGAGGCATAGAACGTAGAATCTTCTCCACCACTCTTTGATCATCAAGAGCTTCTCCATTTGTGGCCATTTGATTAACCACCGATGTTACTTTTGCAAAACACTCGTCAATGCTTTCATCTTCTTTCATCTGTAACTTTTCGAATTCTGATCTAAGACTTTGAAGTCGAACCTTTTTTACTTTGTCATCTCCTTTGTAATTTTTGTTAAGGATTTGCCATGCCTCCTTTGCATTTTTTGCCTTCGAAATTTTTTCGTACACCACCTTCTCGATTGCAAGATAATCTAGTTACAAGCGTCAATATCTTTCTTTCGATTTGCCTCCAAAGCTTTCTTCTTTTTGCCTGATAAACCTATCTCATCTTCTGGATCATCAAAGCCTTCATCAACAATTTTTCATAGATCAAAAACTTTAAGCCAAACTTCAAATCGACTGCTCCCATAATCAAAATCTTCCCCGTTGAAGGTGTGAGGGAATGGAGTTGTTATAACTTTAGTTGTCATCAAGAACTTTCAACAAAAGCTCTGATACCAATTTGAAGGATGAGAGAAAAGAATTTTTGCAAAAATAATATCAAATACATAGTGAAGGCTGATTTGTTTTTTTAATCAACTTGGCTTTTGTCTAGCCTTCATTTTTTTTTTCTACTCGAAAGATTACACAACAAATGCTAATATATAGCATTACAGGAGACACATTGAAAAACACAAAGACACTTGGGAATAAGCAAAAGATTCTTAGTCAACACATTAAACTTCTAAGATTCAACTTCCAAGATTCATAAAGTAGGTTCAACACATTAAACTTCTAAAACAACTAGTTTTAAAACCTTACAAGATAAAAGATTCAAAGCAAATAACAGAACCTGCGTTTTACATGACCTATAACGCGGTGGCTAGTTAACAAACTGCACGTCCCTAAGGAATAGGGATTTATTTAACAAACTGGCTAAACTTAAACTTAGGAAACTAGACCTCCTAACAACCAACATTCTGTGCTACCAAACTTGTTAAAGAAATTTAGTGCTTTACTCAGCTTCTCAGTTGCTTCCGACTGCTTTTCAAGGATCTCCATCTGCCTCTCCATGAATCCACTCTGCATTTCAATAAAACTGGTGAGTCCTTCATCGCACCACTGAGTTCTAGTAATCCCTCTCGCAGTCCTAGTAGTACGAGTAGTCATTCCCCCATAAGTTCTGGGTCCTGATCTTCCCTTGGCGTTCCCATCAGAAGCCTCATTTGTAACATTAGGAGACTCGATGTTTTGCCGACCTGCACTAGCATTTCCACCAACCCTAGTCCAAGGACGCCTACTCGATTAGGGTATACTCAAAGGTAGCGTAACCTCTGCATTGAAGTCTAGGAGAAGAGCGCCTCGCTGCAACACTAGAGCCTCTCTTCCCACGAGCCATCTTAATCTAACATTACCAAATATAAACATGTTTAGTACAAAATATTCATCGTATTAATTATCATTAAATTAATTCATAACATATTCGTTATCACAAGCGTAAGTAATCAAATAATATTTCTATGAAACACATACACTAGACATGCCTTAAACTACCCGGACTAAGCATTTTACCTTTAAGAAAACAAAACTAAAGAAGTTATGTGATCCATGGCTCTAAGCTTATATACCTCTATACCTGAAATTTGATCTGATAATGTTCATATTGTCCTCGATCACACTTCAAAATGAAACATCAACTTTCATTTCTATGCATCAAAATCCAATATATTTTTCTTTCATTACTTAACCATCTCCAAAATCAACTAGGACCTACAGCCTAGGCTCTAATAGTAGAAGAAGGGTGTTACATTTGATCTTGAGCTTGACAAACTTTCATGTCTAGAATGATTTTCTGTTTCGTCACTCAAAGTAGAGTGCGTAAACTAAATTTCTCCCAAATTTGTTCAGTTTTTCTGAGATAGATTTATATTAAGTGATAATCATATCAGGAAAGACTCCTTAAAACTATGTGATTTACACGTTTGACTAGTTTGAATGATTTCTTTTTATTCTTTTTACTTTTTTGGCCTGAACTTCTGGCAGGTCCCTGGGCAGACTTGAATTTTTTTTAATAAGACAAAAAAAAAATACAAGGGGAGACATAAAACTGAAACCCATAGAAGAAGATTATTCCTTACAAAAAATATGACGACAAATAAACAAGGGAGACTACCGCCCTTACAAAGATTGATTGATCGAACTTATTTTTTTTCTAACAGAATGTATCATTGAGCATCCAAAATTACACCTTTTATTTTGGAGGGTAGATCATTGATAGCTTGCATTCTAATATCATTTCCAGGTTTATAAGACAATTCTGCGAGAGTGTTCCTGCATTGATTAGGTTTGAAGGGTTTCAAAGACACTTTTTACTTGCTTGAGAAAATCATGCCACCATACCGATATCATGTGTCATCAGCGAGTTTTTGTTTAATGCTGAGAAATTCTTATGTTCGTTCAGTTTCTATCCTGTCCTATATAAGGGTGCTAGCTAGAAGCCAGCCTTGTCTAATCCAGTGAACCAAGTTTGCTGCCGTCTGCTTATTAACTTGTGATGCAAACAGGTTGCTCAGGAATAGGGTTTCAGCTCAGCAAGCAAGAGAAAGAAAGAAGGTGTATGTGAATGATTTGGAATCCAGAGCCAAAGAGTTGCATGATAAAAACCTCAAGTTAGAAGAGAAAATTTCAACTTTGATCAATGAGAACACCATGCTTCGGAAGGTATGCATATCTAAGTGCATTCTTTTTCCTGCTCACTCATTTTCTTGATTAGGTTTAGTTTATTTCAGTTTCTATTGCCATCTATATCACCATCATCCTTTGTTTTTCATTCTCCCTTTGTAGGTCCTCATGAACACTAGACCTAAAGTTGATGAAGGTTCGGAGATGAAAAATGACCAGTCGGGCAACAGCTAGCAACTAACTTACTAAGGTTCATGTTTATGCACTGTTTCCTTTTCCAGGAAACTAAATCCGAATCTTATTTGCTCGTGAGCTTAAAATGTTATCTTGCCCGTCTTTATCTTGTGTGATGAGGCTTGGTATTATGTCATGATAACTTGACAATCTCCTGGATGGGATTATTTTTGGTGTTTTAGTCTAAACGCAAAACTTGTTTCTCTTTGTGGCAGATTTATTATGCATAAGTTTCATTTGCTGAATCTAGTGAGACACCCAAAAAAAACTTTTTTATTTGATTTTTTCTCATATTATTTGTGCTCAGATCAGCTAAAACAGATCTCAGGGTTATTTCTACTAGTCCCTTCCACATTTAACTTCTCTCTGAGTGGATAGCCTATTCAATTAGAATAAAAATCGAAGTAAAACATGTATTCTTACTATAATATAGGAAGGCAAGAATAGAAGAAAGCACAAATATATAAAAGAGAAGGAATTAAACAAAAAACAAGAGTTGCATCAAATTAGAAGCAGGGAGTGTTCCTGACGACAGAGTAACTTGTGTTAGAAACTATAAAAGGTTAAGTGATGATGTAATATTCTGTTTAGATTTGGGGATCCTAACATGAAGGTGATAGTTTTAGAAGCAGGCACAGTATGAAACATAAGGAGAAACATGTTGTCGTGAACATAAGTATATTTTACTCCATATCGTTCATATGTTAGTATATGAATTTAACAATGAATAACTTTAAAGAGTAAAGATTAAAATAACGAGTCATGTTGTATGTTTCATTTCAAGAAGGATTGAGCACATTACACCTTATGCACAGGTGACATAGAGTCTGATATTTATGATCATAGAAATTACTACAAGGGAGATGGTCTACCTATAATAGTTCTCCTTGTTTGAAGATCAATCACCCTGAAGCACACTGCTTCTAATCCTAATTAATGCTGCATTCTTTTGAATCAGTGATATCAGACCCATAAAATTTCATACGTTGCTGGTTTAATCCTCTCATGTCATGCTGACATAGAAGATTGAGTAATTCTTCTCACATACTTCATGACCACGGTCCTACCGAAGCAGTCATGTCCATCGTTCATATCCATATCCGTTCCAACGTCTTTTCTGTCTCCTTACTTTAAAATTTTGCAGGTTGT